CCCCAAAACCCCAAAACCCCAAAACCCCAATCGATAGAATTATCTAAATAAAATGAAATGTTTATAAATGATTTCAATAAATCGGTTTAAGCATTAATCCTAGTAATCCTGCAATCAAACAACTGAAAGAAAATATTAGCATTGGATAAGGCTGAGGTAGTAAAGCTATCCTTGGAGCTAGAATGGTTATAAATCTAGCAATTACATTACAAATACCAAAAGCAGTGGCTTTCAACAGAGTTGGGAACAATTCACCCATTATAACATAAGTCACATCAAAAGCAACAGTAATCCCAAATTTAGAGAATAAAACATAGTATAAAATATTAGAACTGGAAAGCACAGTATCTTTGGCCACCCAAAATCCCATGCTTCCAAAGAAAGCCAGAATGTAACTTAGAATCAAACTTTTCTTGTTCGGAAAGATGCTAGTAATCACATAGCAAAATACGTTTGCAAGGATCTCAGAGATTGAGGAGGCAATTGCAAGCTCAAATACATTATATCGATTCTCATGCAATAGGGTATTAATGCTTGAGAGGAAATAAGGAATAAGATAGAAGCCAAATGAAGCTGTGGACCATGAGAAAATCATAATCAATAAATTATTCCTAAAGATCTTCTCATTTATCAGTCTCTATACTTTCTCCACCTTTTTAACTGGCTATATAGTAGGATTCAAATACTGATTTTATAATAGCTTTTCCTTTTACTCACTCTAAGAAATTTCTTAATCATCCAATAGCATATTATCCTTAATATTCTAATTTTCCTATTTGCTCACAATCTCAATCTACTCTTCTTGGTTTATCAGTGACTCCTTATGATTACCATTTGAATTTCTCTTATTTTAATCGCTTAATTCAAAATCTCCAATATCACTCTGATCTGTTTTAATGCCATTAAACCTCGCTATCTTCCTAAAGCTTTCTCTGGCTTTGTCATTCTAGTTCGAGCTTAACAGATATCTTGGGCTTTCAGGAAGAATAAAATGCACTGATATTAAGCATAAAATGGCTTTGATTATGGAAGAATAGTTCATAAAAATCCAGTTCTTTGAAATTTTATAGAAATACACATCATACCAAAGCTTAGCAAAGCCATGGACCATAAAGATATTCAAGCCTATATAAGTTTAGTGTGACTGAGGCATTAACTCTTGCAGGTAAACAAATCCAACATAGTATCTACCAGATTCAGAAATACCTCCCAAAAATATCAAGAAATAGTTGAGATAAAGGCTAGTACTAAATGGATAGATAAAAGCAGTACATGCATAGAGACACAGTCCAAACAAATATGGTCTCTTTCTTCCATAAACATCAGCTAGTCTTGGGATTATCAAACTCCCAATGAATGCTCCAATAAAAAATGATGACCCAATTAGTCCTAACTAATTATCTGAGATGCAAAAGAGATTCAATTTCTGCACCCAATTATTCAAAGTTTCGATCTTGCTATAATCTATTCTCCAACTAACATCACTGTTGCCGCAAAATTCTTCTCTTTTACATGAATGATACTCTTCTGATCCGGTTGCAGCACATTCATAATGTGGTTTCATTTGAAAGTACCAGAGATTGTAGAGTATCTGTGAGCCACTGAGAATTCCAAAAATAATAATGAAATTAGCAACGATCTAGAATCTGCCAAAACCACCAGCCTTCTAGTACTCTTTTTCCTCTATGGCCTTAATCTAAGCTCTTTTTACGTCATCTTAATCTGCTTCAGATTAATTTTAATTATTTTATAAAATCATTATTATAATTTTCTGTAATAATCTCAAAAATTTATAATAATGGGGTTTTGGGGTTTTGGGGTTTTGGGG